GCAGCAGGCGGAGAGGGAGGTGACACGCATGGTGATTGTGATGGTGATGGCCTTCCTCATCTGCTGGCTGCCCTACACCACATTTGCCCTGGTGGTGGCCACCAGCAAAAAGACATCACTATCCAGCCAGTTCTCGCATCCCTGCCCTCCTACTTCTCCAAGACAGCCACAGTTTACAACCCCATCATCTACGTCTTCATGAACAAACAGGTGAGAGAGCAAATCATTCACTAACAAAACCACGGCTTCACTGGGGCTTCTGGACAACAACTTAATGGCCCCATAAAATGTAGAGGAACCATCTATCTCATTTGGAAGTATAGATGCAGGCTCTGGGAGTTGCTGTATAAGCTGCAAGGTTCGGGGGATTAAAATGCAAAAGGCGGGAGCAGCCTGTGAGCCCAAATGAGAGCTCATTTTCTGCTTCCATGATTTTATGGGGTTGGACAACTTAATTTTAGATCACAAACTGCTCATTGAACACACAAATCAAGCAGAATGAAACTTTTATTGTCAATAAACTGCCAGGGCCTGCAAAGAGTTGGGCTGCAAATCAATACAGATCTCACGAAAATACACCAAGGTGTCCATCCCTCAACCTCTGCCTCCAGGTCTCAAGGTAGATGCCAGCTTTCTGCCATGACACATAACCTGTCCCCTCCCTGCCCAGTTTCAGAGCTGCCTGCTGAGAACACTCTGCTGTGGTGCCTACCCCGGGGGCACAGGAAGAACAGCTCCAGCTGCCCCCGGCCCCCATGTAGGCACTGCTGCAGATGGGCTGCGGAACAAGGTGACTCCATCCCCCCCCGTCTAACTGCTGCCAACCCCTGCCTGCACCAACATCAGCTCTGGGCTCAGCTTCACCCAGCATGGCCAGAGAAGGGCCCAGTGCTGTCGCTGCTCCCCACGCCCAGAAGATGGGAGGCACTTGGAGATTAGAGAGGTCTCTGCAAGCCTCATGGTGCTGCCCTGAAAGACATGACATTATCCTCTTGTGGGACAGGAGCCACCCCGTCATGGCATAAATTGCAAACTTCCTTTGCTCTCCCAAGAAAACACGCTGCAGCCTCTCACCTGGGGAATCAGAAGTCTTTTAAGAACAAAAAAAAAAAAAAAAAAAGACAGCAATTTTAACTTGATGCAAAACATCCCAAATTGCTGTTCAGCCCCGGAGCAAGGTTGAACATGGTCCAGCTGTGATACCACCTCCAAAGTGATCACATTCATTGCCCCTAGACAGACTGAGCCCTGTTTGCATTGCCCCATATCACTGTGAAGCTCAAGGTCATGCTGTGAAGCTGGCACAAACCCAGCAGATATGTAAAGTGCAGACTGTGTTAATAAACATGGACAAAGTCAAAGGTTTTAGTGGCTGACAGAGGATGCGACAGGGAACACCTTCCCACTACTACAGCTGGCACTTCGTCTCCTGTGGCGAGTGCCACATATGCTGTGGTAACTGATGGCAAGGGAAAAAAAAAACAGTTCAAAAACACAAAGATGGGTTTTGTTGGTTTGTGTTTAAGGCAACAAGGTCTTAAATCCACTGATTTTCCAGCAAGGGTGAAAGCACATGCTGAAACAGGCTCTAAGGACAAGGTACAGCAGAACCACTGCTGCCAGAACACCAGGACATTATCAGAAAGTAAAATATACCAAAGCCTGTGAGAAATAAATAAAAGACAAAAACCCTCCATGGGGCTCCACAGCTCCATGCCTGATCTTCAACGTCAGCACAGAATGTTTATCCACAGCAGCTGCAATTACACTTCTGGACTGCGAGACAATTCATGTGATTTAGGAGCCTATGGGCAAGGCTTCTAAGCTCAAGGTCTAGACACCACCACAGGCAGCAATTCCCCAAGACTGTTTTATCAAATCCCTCTATCTTTAAAAACACCATCAGCAGCTTGTCTGCCTTCATAGTAAATTGTCTTTCAAATTTTGATTCTGCTTTCAAAATGAGACTGATCCACAGTCACAAGATGATTTAAAGGTTCACCCTCTCCTCCACAGTTTTGTTTCTATTGCACATGATCCCAACACACACTTCACCCCACTCCTCCTCCCACCATCTTCCACAGCTTTTGCTGCTGCAGCAAACCCATGAAGGAGGTAGAGGGAAGCAATGCTGGAAGTTGTTCCTCACCTCGCTAAATTGCCTCACTAGCATGCAGTCTGCAAGCTGCTAACAGGCAGTCAGAGCAGCAATTTGGACTAGCAGATAACCATGAGATTTGGGAGACCAATGTTTTTTTTTCTCTGAGGTTCTCTGCTCCAAAACAAGAACAAAACAAAAATTCCCAAATGGAGACCAGTACGATGGAGGGTACAAGGAGGCTGGAACACAGCTGCTTAGAGAATGGACGTTTTTCTTCTTGTCTTCATCAAACTTACGTGAGGGTCCTGCAAGTGCCTCCAGCCTGGGTGCAGGGGGACTGGACACCCATCCTCACCCCTAGCCCCATCTCCCCAGCTTCCTCTCTCTGCTTCTTTCCTGCTCACCAAGCAGCTCATACACTAGCAGCTCAGAGAGGAATTAGACCAGCTCAGCTTCACTGTTTTAATTTAATTAATTGGCTTTCATTCTCTGCAAAGCCTAAAAGCAGCATTAGATGGGCCCCCTCTGATCTCCTCTGCTGTCTTTCGCTGGTCCTTGTTTAATTGTTCCTGTTAATTACAGCTTTTGTGTCCATGCTTTACGTTATTAGGATGATTTCCATTCATGGTAAACTTAAATCTGGGAAAGTACAGGTAGCTGAAAAACTGCAGTTGCTAGCGGCTGCATTCTGGTCTTGATAAGGAGAGCAGACAGGCGATGGGACTAGTTGAAAGGCTCTCTACCAACAAAAATAAAATTTCTCCACATTAAGATTAAAAAAAGATAGGGAAATAATAGTTCACAGTCTGCTCACCATTTGTGCTGACAGATAAAACAGACAAATCCAAGAAGCTAAGGAGATTTTTACATGTTGCCAACCAAAGGGATACAGTTACATGTATACAGAAATGCACGTGTGCTTGCTCTGCTGCCACACTGCTGCAGCCCTTCAAGTTTTAATTGCTTTTTATTTCATTGAGCAAGTTTAGGAAAGATAACAGAACAGTGCCTAAAGTGAGATGGAATGCCTGCTTGTCAGTTATGGGTCATGAGTCACTAAGGACAGCATAATGCAATAAATTTGTGATTTCACTTTTGCATGCATTTGTCATGACTCTGCTCCTTAAAACACAATGCTCTGCATAGCCCCAGGCCCATGTGAAGTAGGATCTTGTTTCAGCACCTTATATCAAGAATATAAAGCTCTTCTGCCTGCAGGAAGAATACAGAACTCACAGAAAAAAACAGGTACCTGGAGCTGACTGGAACCCAGGTTAGAAAATATTAAACTTGGGCCTGGACAGCATCATGTAATACCCAAAAAATGAGTCCCATTTCCCATGCACTGTTACTGCTGTTAACTTGAGGGGCAGAACTCAAACTGCAGCCTCCTTGCTGCCATTTCTGCTCTAGCTCTATTGCTACCACAACATCACTAAATAGATGAAATATCTATTTTTTCTTGATTTCTTCTGAAGAAAGCTCCCTCAGGTCTGCCAGTTTGCAGCATCTTCCCTGGAGCAGCTCTATAGGTATCTAGTTTTATATACAGTCTGGTGATGGGAAACATAGTTAATAACAAGCAACAAAAACCCCAATGCCCAAAAAACACCCAAAACCAAACCCCTCAAAAACAGAAAAAGAACCACATGGCAGCACAATAACCTTGGCAACTTTTATTAATTTAGTTTAACAATACTAACCAACACTTAAAAGTAGGCAACATTTCTCTACACAAACAGGACTGAAAAGGCAAGATGCTGTACATACAGCTAAAGGCAGCTGCACTCCCATGGTCAGGTAGACAGGGACAGTCATTACACCTCCTGCACCTCAACAGCATTTATCACAAGAAAAATTAACTTTATAGTTAGTTGCCATGCCCATCAAAATCCAGATCCAAACCTCAATTATATCCAGGCATCTTGATGGGTTTTGGTTTTCTTTGGATGAGGCCTTTACCAAGAGTGTGGTTTAATTAAACAACAAGTATTTTGTAATACTAACCAGACCTTCTCATACTCCACCTTTTTCTCATTAGCTTTTTGCACAGCAATTAATCCCCTTAATCAGTCAAATCAGTTCAACACTAGATCAAAAAAGCACTAACAGAAAACAAGAAACTACCTTGTTAAATTTAATGAACAAGGGAAAACACACACCAGAAGGCTGACAGAAAATAGAGTCATTATGCTAATGCTGTGTAAGTAAGAGAGAGAGACACTGCAACCCCAGTGAACGGTCCGCAATGCTGTCAGTCTCAACTGCCTCTCAAAACTGGAAAATTTTCTCTGGAGAATTTAAGTCTAGAGCAGCTTCCTCTCCTTTAAAACCACAGGGTAGAAACAGTACCCAGAAATCAAGAAAAGCAAAAGCCTAGCCTGTGCAAGCTCCACAAATTGAGTGCTAACAATACAATAAACGTGATCCTGCCCAGCACAGCATCCAGCAGCTTTTACAGATGAAGAGAACCTTCTGAACTCCCTGCACAGCTTCCTGGGGCTCTGCCTGTGGCCCCAAATCCCTTCTTTCTTCCAACATCTGAATCTTGAAGGCTTGCAGCCCTTGAATGACAAGAATTTTGTATATGATCCCAATTGTTTGTATTTTCTTTTAGGCAGGATGAATACAGAGCACTAAACCAGAAGCCTCTGGAGATTCTGGATGCCTTTTTATTTTTACCTGGACCTATACTGGCCATCTGCCCCTTCCAGCCCCCAAAAAATTGCCTCTCCCCTCCAAGACTACAGATGTGCTGTAGCGTTACATATGCAGACTCTAATGATTCTGAATGTAACAGCATTAAGTAAATGTAGTTTGACTACAACTGGGAATGGGCTTTGGATCGAGCCATTTATGAGCATGGCAGTATATACACTGCAGGGATCAGTTTGCTCTGTTGGCAAGATCCTCCTGGTTATCATGACATTTGCCTTCTGTGCTCAGGAACAGCAACAACAATTCCTGATTCAAACACAAGAATATCTTGTGTTCCTTAGTAAGATATGTTAGGAATGACTTATGACTACTCACTGGTGTTTACTGTGGAGTTGTTCAGTTACCAGGCTCTGATCTTTGGTGCTAAGATGAAAAAAAGTTATTTGGGCTATAAATCTTTTCCTCAAAGTGATGTATATACGACTTCTGCCATTTTCTTTATTTCCACCTATACTGCCATAACAGTATAACCATCTTCTCAAGCTTTTCTTTAAGTCTTTTCTAAAGAGCTTTCATGATTATGTTCACTTACATTCTTCTCCATCTCAAAAAATCTACGATTTTGTCAGATTATCTCTGATTTCTGTGAAGACTATGCACTGCCTTCTAAGCCTACTGAAGTATCCGCTTTCCATCTACAGGAAATTATATTAACAAAACATTCTTTCCCTCTCAATTTAGTATGGAAAAGTTCAGATTGCTGTCTCCAGCCAAGTTCCCCGACACACTACTCTCTAAGGAGTGACAGCCCCTTTTCTGAGAAGTCCTGCCTAGGTCTCTACACAGAACATAAAACAAACTTATGAACAAAACAAAGAATCAATTATCAGCTAACCAAAGAGCATGTCCCTCAGGCTGTTCTTGGATCTCCTCATGCCCAGGAACTGCACGGATCATCCTTTCTAATATACCATCAAGAGTAGAGTGAGCCCTGTTGAGTAAAATATTGTCAATGGATGCTGGCAAGTTTAATACTACACATTTTAAATGAAAACAGTCATAATTACCCAGGTTCTTAAAAACGTTGGCTTCCTCTAAGCAATAAATCTTGTTAAAATATATGAAACCATTATTCTAAATCTTTGTAACTCAAAGCCAAACATGCCTTATCGTCCTTTTTTCCATACCTTTCTGTTTCCTCTGATAGATTAAATGACTCCTTAGTCCATAAACTATGATCTCCCTCCTCATTTCTCTCAGATTCTTTTTTTGACTCTCTGTCTTCCATTTGAATTTGATCGGGAACTATTACACATAAACAGAAATATTTTAATATCAAAGGTGTGAAGGAAGATAATGAAGAAATTAAAATGTGTTTTCATTTTCTATACTTGGCAAAGCATAGTAACTTTATAGTAACTAGTATAGACAACTCCAGTTGCCTGCTTCCCCATTACTTTCCTCAGCCATCCGATTTTCTACCAGTTAAGCAAATTCACATTATCTACAGTCAAAGGTAGCTAGTAGCAAGACCTAGATAAATATTTTACTGCAACACATTTTTAGATTCACAGGACTGAACATCTTGCTTCATACTAAAATGAAAAATACATGTAGAAATTAATCTTTAATCTTTCCCCTTACAATCCCAGATATGGGAGAAAAATCAAAAGAAAACCTGTGGATGTTAGCTTTGTTAGCCTGCTTAGCAAAATCCAGTGATATCCCCCAAGAATTATCTCGGTAAGTTCTGTTCCCTACAGCATGTGAATATATTCAGCCACCTTCTGCTAAGCTATGATAAGCAGGAAGCAGTAGGCTGTCACAAAAATGGAGTCTGAAATAGCTGTACTTTATGCAAATACAACAAAACCACAGCGATTGAATGGCAAGCAATACAGACTGCTGCATTCCTTACCACCTAAAAACAAGATACTCCTATGAATAAACTCAGTAGCTTCTATCCTTTGGGAAAAGATCTAACAAAGCTGTAGGATAACACAAACAAGTGCCAGTATCATTCTCAAGTGACTATGCTATTTAGCTTTTTTTTTTTTTTTACAGACCAACTCATGTTCTGCCTTCTTTTTTTTCCTTTTTTGTCTTCATTTTTTTTGTCTTTTTATTTTTAAAAAAAAAAACCAACAAAAACTGCTCTTCTCTTTGTGACTCATTGGAAAAAATGCAGAGCCTATGAAGAGTTAGGTTTTCTGCTCCTCTGACATTACTTGCTGTACAACTGAAAATTATTCTCACTTATTACTATTTGCAGTTCAGAAGCACAAAGATTCATGCCTGCTATCTTTGGTATCTTTGTAAAAGAACAGGAAATATAATACTGATTACCCCAGTGGATGCTATTTTCTTACACTATGAGATCAGAGGCATTATTTCACTATGGTGAATAAGAACCACAAGTGTGCACTGGCCACTTCCTCAACTGAACCACCCTCCCACAATGGAAACCTCAGCTCTCTCTTACATCAGCTGCCCACCATGTATGCTTTTGTGGGTTTCATCACTTCTGTTTGAACATAGCACACATTACACTGACATAATAAAAATAGAAGATTAATTCCAGTAGTTCAAACCAGCAAGGCTTCCACACAAGAACCCTTTACACTTTAGAGAGAGAATATACATAGAAAGACAGCAAACACTGGTGGAGAAGTGCAAAACCGTTGCATATAACTTTACCAAGAAAGGGAGAATCCTCTTAAAGTACTGCTGAAC